TCTTTGTAACTTGTACACAGCTTCAGGAAACATCTTTTCTCTTTCCACATATGTGTGCTTTGTAGTTTCCAGACTTCTGAGTATGTTCTGTAGTATTAGGCTTAACTTCCTTCTCTCCAGGGAATCCTGATTTCTGCTGAAATGAATTCGCTTCCCAGCAAAATCAAAGCATTCAATTTATCTAATTTTATTTATTCATGTATTCAGCAACCTTTTATTGATCTCCTAGTATGTGGCAGGTTCTGTGCTAGGAACTAAGGACACAAAATTAAAGGAATTCAGGGACTTTCAGAGGAGACGCCAACAGAGAACTGAAGTCTGTGAGAGTATTGCATTATTAGTCATTGTATGCCAATGACGTGAGCCCGGTGGGGGGAGAGGGGAAGGCTTCACAGAGGAGGGGCAGGGACAGGGACAGGGACAGGGGGCAGAGCTCCAGGTGAGAGTGGAGAAGAATGCAGTCCAGGGGAGGAGGCGACAGGGGAAGTCTCAGGATCCCAACAGCCCATGGAGTGCGGGCAGGGGCGGAGAAGAAGCCAGAAGGCTAGGGCCATGCCAGCTTATGGGGGACCTTGTACTCGGGCACTCAGGAAGCCCTGGAAGTGTTAAAGTCAGGGAGCTACGTGACTGCCCCTGAAGCCAGCTGTGGTCGCAGTGTGGAGAGGAGCGCTGGAGCGGGGAGGTGGTGCCGAGAAGAACAAGGGAGAGGCTCTTGTCACATCGGATTCAGAAGGCACCCGTGCTTTGATCCAATAATTCTGTTTCTAGGAACATTTCCACAGCTGTATTCACACCCATGTGCCAGGGTGTATGTTCAAGGGTGTTCGTTGCAGCATTGTTTATAATAGAAAAAGACTGGGAACACCCCAGATGTCCAGGTGTCCACCAGTAGGAGGCCGGCTTACTGATGCAGCACTCCTGACACTCCACTGTTTCGTGGTGCCGAGATGAGACAGCTCCAGGACAGGTGTTCAAAATACTAGGAGATACCTGCCCCCCACCCCCGCAGGATAATGTGTTGGTTAAGAACACTGGAAACAGATGGCCTGAATTAACATTCAGACTCCACTGTACACTACTTGTGTGCACGTAGCGTTCTTCCTCATCTTTATTTTTTATTTATTTATTTATTTTTTCCTTTTTGTCTTTTTTACTGACCGGTAACGGGATCGCAACCCTCGGTGTCGCGCCCATACCGGGGACCGGCAACGGGATCGCAACCCTCGGTGTTGCGCCTGCGCCGTGCCCAGCCAGTGAGTGGGAACTGGTCACCACATGGGATCTGAACCCTCAGTGGGAGCGCCGCTACGCTCCCAAGCGGCGCACTCTCCAGTGCGCCACCAGGCCGGCTCCTTCCTCATCTTTAAATGGGGATAAGTAATAGATGCAACTCCTAGGGTTGTTGTGAATATTAAGTGAGTTGGTACATGAAAAGTGCTTAGAATACTGCCTGGCACATAGAATGTGCTTAATAAATGTTTCTGATAATAATTCAATTGTCATCATGATTTTATTATATAACGTAAAACATTTCTGGAAGAATACACTAGAATCTGTTAACAGGGGTTGCCTCAAGGGGGAGGACTATTTTCCATTTAACACCCTCCTACTGTTTGAAAAAAATATTTTTTAATCATCTTAATCTCTGTTAACATAGAGAAGCTGTTGCTGGAGTCAACACAGGAAATGATGAGACTCTGACCTAAGGCAGTGCTGGCTGGGGAGGTGAGGTCCACATTCAGGAGATGATTCCAAGGTAGAATGTGCAGAGCCAGGCATGGAACCGATGAAAGCACCATCCTTGGAGTTAGGAATTGCAGGAAGAGGCAGCAGGGTTGATTGAAGCAGGATATGGGGCACTTGAGGCGAGAGAAGTGAATGGCAGGTAGGGACACAGTCTTAGTCACTCTGAAAATTTAAATATCTCGTGGGTGAGGAGTTTATTTGTTTTCCTAGGAGATGAGGGGGAAAAATCCACCTGCCATCCCCATGCACACCTGTGGCTTTCTCAGTGGTAGCTGAGTCTTCTGATATTCAACTGCTTACCAGTTTCCCCTAACAACTACTTTTTGCTAAGGAGTTTATTTATTTATTTATTTTAAAGTGCTAGAAACCAACTAAGAATAAACAGGAATTTGAAAGGGTTTAATATATATATATATATATTTTTATTGCACATGCCTAAGAAGTTGTAATTAATGTCATTAGTGGATTATAATGACAGTCTGCTGGCCTTGACCTAACATTTTGTTATTTGAGTGAGACAGTGATGACACGATGTTACTCTCCGCAGGGCATGGGGTTCACGTGGGTGTTTTCCGCTTTGTAGTAGTGATGCACTTTAGCTGGCCTCCCGGATCACTGTGTGGTCAGCAGTTTTCATGTGTGTAGGTTGGCCAGATGAGGCAGTACAGTCTGGGACTGGGGAAGGGAAGTTGAGGAGAGGGCATTAGGGGCATATGTTTTACAGAAGACTCTGCCCACTTGAATATGAGGGTACTTCAAAAAGTTCGTGGAAAAATAGAATTAAAGGGTATATGAAGCTTTCCATAAGCTCTTCAAGTACCCTTGTATGTCTTAATTCACCTGTTTTTAAATAGATGCTGAGCCACGGGCTGCAGGGGAGCAAGTGAGGGGGACGGGAGGCTGGGTCTAGTGTACAGGAGGACAAAGGCAGCATCCTTCCCCCTGTAGATCCACGTGGAAAGCCACAGTCGTGCCACGATGCCTTAGGAAGGGTTACCAGTGACATTTCTGGACTTCTTGATGGGAGAGTCATTAGTTGCTTTCCAACTGGGGTTCCAATCCAGTTTCTGAAGACGTCAGAAAACTCTCCCAGTTTCGTTCTGTAAGCTTCTCCGGGGACTCTCTGTTTGAGGAGTTCATTCATCTCCTGTGTCGTGGAAAGTGACTGAAGAGCTCTGCCTCCCATCCCGAGGATGGGGAAGCTGAGACTAAACGACACGTGAGGGGATGGTGCCTCTTCTACTTCTTCTTTTTTTTTTTCCTTCTTGAGACCCCTTAGAGACATTGTCAATATTCCTAGAGACAAGAATACTGCAGTTACCCTGTGACTTGCCTGTACAGGTAAAAGATCTAGGTTTGGTGTTCCCATTTCTCACGTACAGTTTCTGTGTTCTTGCAAAGAGTTTTACTCTCTTCTGAATGAAGCATCTTGTGATGAAGTATGTTTCTGTTAAACTTGTGTCAGTGCTGGCGACATCTTCAGAAGGCATGCTTGTTCACCAAGGCTCACATGCTTTTGTTATAAAGATATCATGATTTAGTGGCATCATCAGTAGCTCCACTAGGGGAAATAAAAAATTCTCATTGATTTTGCCTAATGGAATATTTTAATGGTAAAAATCCAAAACATCTTCAAGTAATTTTATTAATGCCAGATTTTATTTATTTATTTATTGCCTTTAATGAACTCAAACATAAGCATATTAATTTTCTGGTGACCCAAAGTAATAGAAGCTCCTTTTTGCCTAACTTTCTTATGAACTGCTTTTTTTTTTATGACTCCTTTTGTAGTCATATGGATTTTCTTTTCTAAAAAATCTATGACACACCAAACTATATCTTCTAAAACGAAGTCCCCTCTCTTTCTTTCTCTTTCCTCTGAAAATTAAAGCATGGTTATAGAGTTGCCAGGGCTACTCAGGTTAAAGCCTAGGGTCTCATTCACCTCTCATCTGCCTCTTCATGTGTCTTCTACATGTGACACTTAACAAAGCAGAATCTTTCTTAGAGTATTTGTTCAGGGTGCCTGTTCACAATGTTGTTATTTGGTAAGCATAGTTTGTATGCGTTTGGAATTCTTTTTATAACACAAAGATCTTTTGTTTCCAAGACTTTTTTTTTTTTTTTGTCTTTTGTCTTTTTTCCGTGTCCAGCAACGGATCGCAACCCTCAGTGTTGCCCCCGTACCGGACCGGGGACCGGCAACGGGATCGCAACCCTCGGTGTTGCTCCCGCGCCTCGCTCAGCCAGTGAGCGGGAACCGGTCTGCATGTGGGATCCGAACCCTCGGGCGGGAGCGCCACCGCGCTTCCCAAGCAGCGCACTATCCAGTGCGCCACCGGGCCGGCCCCGTTTCCAAGACTTAATGGCCTCTAATGTTTGCGTGAAATCTACAGTCCATAGCATCATGAGATGGTGATTGTCATTTTGTAAGCATTGGTAGCCCCAAGAAATACAGAACCAATGTAGAAAAGCTTATTTTAATTCTTAAAAATGAATTTTTTTTTTAGGGTCTGTAATAATTTTCAAAGTATTAAAACTGCTTGTGGGGTTCCCATGTGTATTTTCCTCTTTTCTTTTTGTTGTGGTGGTTTGTTTTCTGTTTTGGTCCTTAGGCAGGAGAGCAGCTGGCTGCATTTGTTGTGTCTGGGTTTGTACCTGGTAGGTCTGTGGTGGTTTGTGAGCCGTGGCTCCAGTGGCTCCACAGTTGTCAAAGAAAGACGTCACCGCATGCCCTGCCAGACCTGAAGCCTTGTGTTCTTCCTGCAGGCCCATTCATCAGCGTGGTCCTGTCGAAGCTGGAGAACATGCTGGAGAACTCTTTGCATGTTAATTTGCTGCTTATTGGGATCATTACTCAGCTAGCTAGCTATCCCCAACCACTCCTGCGCTCCTTTCTGCTCAACACCAACATGGTCTTCCAGCCCAGTGTACGCTCTCTCTACCAGGTATGTTAGCTGAGCCCATCTGTACCTGCTGATTTTGTGGGTGCCAATTTGTAGGGCTCCTTCTCTCTTTCTCCTTGTTTTGTTTTTCAAAAATCCCTCTGTTCTAATTCATTTGTTTTCTTTCTCTGTCCTGTTAAGCTAGCTGTGTAGATTATTCTAGACAAACTGCAAAGCTTCATTTAGCTTGATGTCTTGAGGGTGCCCTACCAGGAACACCCAGGCAGTTATAAATGAGCAGATGGCTACTATCACAATAGTTCTCATAAAGAGAGCTCCACCTGAAAGGATATATTGGTAACTAAGGCTGGAATTCCATTGTGAAGCATTAATGTCATTAATGTTTTTTCTGACAGGTTCTTGCATCTGTGAAAAACAAGATTGAACAGTTTGCTTCTGTGGAGAGAGACTTCCCAGGTCTCCTCATACAAGCCCAGCAATACCTGCTCTTCCGAGTGGACATGTCCGATATGACCCCGGAGGCACTAACCAAAGGTAAACCTGCCCTAAACTCCTCCTCCATTTCCCCAGATTGCTGGTGTGAGTTTGAAGATGCTGCAGTGGCTCCTGGGCCCTAGAAACATCTAAGGTTATTTTCATTTTTACCCAACAGTGGGGAGGAGCCTCCTTTTAGAGTTCTTTTTTTTTTTTCCTTTTTGTCTTTTTTACTGACCGGCAATGGGATCGCAACCCTCGGTGTCGCGCCCGCACCACGCTCAGCCAGTGAGCAGGAACTAGTCTCCACATGGGATCCAAACCCTCGGCGGGAGCGCCGCCGCGCCCCCAAGCGGTGCACTCTCCAGTGCGCCACCAGGACGGCCCCTTTTAGAGTTCTTAAACCTAAAGAAGGACATGCCCTACCCACACCCGGCCTGTTCCCTCTTTGGAGGGTCTAGCAGGGCATTTGTTTTCCTAACTGAGAGTGGTTCAGAGAGGGAGCTGGTATGTGGGGTGCTGTCAGGCTGGAATGAATAACACAGCATGTATGGGCCAGAAAGAGGCATTGTGTGCACTCCCTGAGCCATTTTTTGGCTAGCCTTAGTCCTGAGGAAGCCACCTGTTCTGTTTATTATGTTTTCAGAGGCTCTTGGGCCAGAAATAAATGTGCTTTAGGGCTCTAGGAGGTAAAAACTGTTCATTTGGACTAGGAGAAGTAAAGTTTATGCTCAAGGTAAAATTCCTCAGAGTGCCTTTTTATCAGCCCTAGAGGTATTTTGAGGGCGTGGTGGGCCAGTGCTGAGGTGGAGCTGAGTGCACCCTGCTGCGATCAGGCCTGGGGGCACTTCTGCGTTGCCTTGTTTAGGCTCTGGTTGGATGACTTGATAAGTGTGGTCCTCTGAGCTGTGACTTAGGCCTTGGTGAGCACAGACTAGGAAGTGGCCATATTGCACTGGCTTCTACTCATCCACACGTGGACAGGGCAGGCTTCTTTGTGGCAGGCAAACAACAGGGACTGCAGGGCTCTCAGTCCTGGGCTAAAAGCAATGATCAGAAATTAGATTCGGAGTGAGAGGCAGAAATGTAACTCGGGGAAAGTGTCAAACCTTTAAAAGAAGGTGAAAAGAACCCAGAACTCTGAGGCCTGATCCTGTCTCTGTGTAGCTGTTCGATCTTGGTCACTTCACCATGTCCCTCAACTTTTTTTTTTTTTTTCCTTTTGGTCTTTTTTACTGACCAGTAACGGGATCGCAACCCTCGGTGTTGCGCCCGCACCGTGCTCAGCCAGTGAGCGGGAACCAGTCTCCACATGGGATCTGAACCCTCTGCGGGAGCGCCACCGCACTCCCAGGCGGCACACTCTCCAGTGCACCACCGGGCCGGCCCGTCCCTCAACTTTTAATTGAAGGATTTGTTCTCAATTTTTCAGGTCCTTTCTGGCTCAAGCCAGAACTCTGGATGTGACAAGCCCTTAGGGTCCTGCAATGCAGATTTTGAAAGCAGGGTGGCCCCTGGTAAAGTGAGGGGTTAGGCTTCAAGAAATTGGACTTTGAGAAGAGCAGACAGGGCCACTCATGGAGGGAAAGAAGCCCCACATCTCTGTGGGAAGGTGGATGTCAGGCCCTCTGTGGTTACAGCAAGCTGCTGTAACACACCCTGTGAGAGAAGGTGCATCAGTTAGCTTTTGTGCCTAACAAACCACTGCAAAACTCATGGCTTAAGATCAAGCCATTTTTGATTGCGTATGAGTCTGTGGCGTGGGTATCTGGGTGTTCTGAGCTGCGCCAGGCTGATTTTGCATGGACTGGCTTGTGTGTCTGCTGTCGGTGGTGGCTGGATGTCCAGGATGGCCACACTCACATCTGTGGCTGTGGGCTGGGATGATGGGGATGATGGGGGTGTTTCAGCTTAGCCCAGCCATGATAACATCATGGCTGTTGGGGTCCAAGAGCAAGAGAAGGACCAAAGACAATCTTTGAAGCTCAGGCTCAGAGCTAGCACAAGGTTGCTTCTGCTGCGTTCTGTTGGCCAAAGAAGTCACAGGGTCAGCCCAGATTCAAGAGCGGACCGAAAACCCCACTTCTGGGTGGGAAGAGCTGCCAGGAACTGTGGCTGCTTTTGCAGTCTGCTGGACGGAAGAGAACTGCAGTCTCCTCACAGTGCACTCCAGGCTTGGTCTTCATTTCTGTTTTACAGTTTGTGAAGTGCTTTCCCAGGCAGTCAACTTTTATTGCCAAACAGCACTGTGGAATGGGCAAGTAAGGTACCGTAAGCTTCATTTACCTATAAAGAAGCTGAAATTAGAGGCCCTGGATAGTCAGCCAGGATCATGAGGCTCAGGTGCCTGAGCCTGTAGTACCTGATTCATGGAGATGAACGGGACACACTCTCCGACCTGGAGGAGACAGACACACACTGAACCGTAACCAACACACCCCGGGGGGCACTCACACCTTGAGCTTTGTCCTGGCTTCAGACTGTCTGGTGGCCATGGTTGCAAGATACGTGCACAGGGGAACTTGTCCTCACCATGTAACGTCAGATTAGTCACCTGGGGTCGATGCTTTTTAAAGTCTGGGGCAGTCAGGGGACTTTGATTAGTAGGAAGCTTCTCTTGAGATATAAGAGTTTCCTTCTGATTGAGTTTTTCAGATTAACTTTCTAACTTCTTTCAGGTTGGCAAAGTGACACCGTCCCCGCAACTTAAAAAATCTCTAAGCTTACAGAATGAATCATTTTCCCATCCCGTTATACAAAGCACTTACTGTGACGTGATTGCCTGTAAATGAGTCAGATCTGGGAGTCCTGTTCTTACTGGGACACAGAGCAATTTACAATGAAGAACTATGGTAATGCGCCAAATATTTGGGTTTCCAGTGTCAAGGCGCTGTGCCCTTTGCCTAATGCTGCTGCCAGGGAGATGAACGTATAATGTATTTCTCTCTGAACTGCTGAAGTCTTCCCAGCATGAGTGTTGAAAACTTCTGTTGGAGCTTTTCAGACCCAGGGTGCCGGTTAGGAAGGCCCTCCTGACCCCGACGTGCTTGTGCCTTCCTTGCTCCCGCCTTTCCTCCTGGTGCTGGTGCTGGTGCGTGCCCAGCGCTCCTGTGAGGGACGCAGCGTGGGCGCCTGCAGCTGGCGCTGCTGCATGGCACAGGTCCTGTGTTCCCTTTGCCTCCTGGCAGCCCCCGCAAGACACAAGCCTCCTCACGGATGCATCCGACAGCAGTCCCAGTCTGGGCGTCTGCCGCTCCAGAGCAAGCAGACTTCCCGTTGCCAGTTGTCACCTTATCGTTCCTGAGACTGTTGGTCTCTGGGGTTCAGCCACTTGCCAGGCTTTTCTTTTTCTCGCCGAATACTTCCTAAGCCACAGAGTAACAGTTCCTCGTATTAATATTCAGAGTCCTCCCACTGACCTCTCATTCTAGAAGGGAAGTCAGGTAGGTATTATCCCCATTTTACAGAGAAGGAAGCTGAGGCACCCGATAGGCTGGTTGGTAGGGAGGGTCCGTAACCCAGGTCTGTCTCCCTATGGATAAGCCCCAGCCGCTGACGGGACAGCCTCCAGCGCTTCCCCGGCCCGTCCCTGGCCTCCCTCGCTGGGTGTGCTCCTGCCTTCAGCAGGGAAGACTGCATCAGTGAGGACAGTTTCGATTCTTGGATTCAAGCTGAGTGAATGAGCCTTAGGGATGACACTTTTTATTCATGGATCAAGCTAGATAAATGAGCCACAAAGAACCTTTTTAGGGGAGAGGAGGAGTGAATTTGAAAGAGAAAGGTGGAGATGAGGACTATGAGCCAGCTGCAGGAAGGGTCACGAGTGGGGAAGACTGATGTGGTCGGTTCCTTCTCTCCTTTATTCAGCAAATGCTTATTGGCTGCTACTGTGAATGTGGAAGTGTGTGAGGGGTGGTGAAAGACTCATTATCAGACGGGGACTCAGCCCTGAAAACGTTCGGTCTAGCAGAGGAGATAAAATATCAACAGTGGTGCAAGGCTGAAGAGCAGGGCAGGCCTTAGTTGGTCGATAAAATGGGGTGGGAGGCTAGAAGAGGGAATGACTTCTAGGGGCAGGAACTAGAAATGCTTTGTGAAGTTGGTGGCAGCTGAACAGAGGATTTGATGGCTGACACTTATCCAGAGGTCCCTGTGCACTTTATGCCTGTTGACTCATTTAATCCTGACAACTCTGAGCTTTTGACAGGTGAGGAAATGGAAGTACTGAGAGGTAAAGCGACTTGCCTTAGTCACTTAGCCAGTAAGAGGCAGAGTCTGTGCTCTGAACCACTGTGCTTTTGCCTCTGAAGGTTAGTAAGGTTTAGGTGAGCAGAGATACAGGGGAGGGAATTCCAGGTGGAGGAACCAGCATGAACAGTGCAGGTGTTGGCCTGGGATTGGTGCCCACACGTGTCTCATTCCCCACTGGTATCCAAGCCAGCTTCCTTCCTCAGCTTTGTGCCTGAAGGCTAGGGACAGGGGATGGGGAGGGGTGGGCTCCAGCACCTTCGTCCTCACTCTGTCGTCAGGGCATGTGGTGAGTTCTTGCTGAAGGGTTGCAGAAGACAGATTCTCAAGAACTTTCCCAGTTCTTTATGGCATTCAAGCCGTGAAAAGCTTTAATCTAGAAGGATATTTAAAGCATCAAAGTGGAAGATTTTTTTTTAACACCAAAGACTATAGTAGCGAGATGTGGAAAGTACTATAAATGTCAAGAATTTTTAGTACCGTAGTTAAGCAACTCTGAGAAGAGTGTTGAAAAATGGGACTGAATCTTAAAAAAGCAGCCAAAGTAATGAAGAGCTTGAATATAATGATTTATAAGGAGTAATGAGACTGTTTGGGTAGGGGGCAGAAGAAGGCATAAATAATTTCTACAAATATATGAGGGCTGGAGATGTTCAGGAATTAGGGAGGTTGAGCCATTTTAATTAGTAAAAACTGATATGATGTGAAAATGCATATCACTTGAATATGTTACAGTTTGGGCTTATATCATCTTAGACCTATGATATTGAAACTGATATAGCAACCCCTGGAAATCCTTCTTAAATGTAGGCTTCTAAGCCATTTGCTGCCACTAGATCCCCATTGTTGCAGGAAGTTCTGAGTCTGTTCTTACCAGGACCTCTTCTTTATTTCTGCTGATCAAAAGGAGTCCTCTACTCTCCTTTTACAAAAAAGGCTGGAGGTCCTGGTCAGAAGGAAATGGGGGGCCACCAGGGAGCCCTAGGGGCCAGAGCACCAGCTGCAGAGAGCTTGAAGTGGCTTGTTTAACCCAGCTTCCCTGCTGTCACTACACTATGTGATCGGGGCTAAACCGGCAAAGGTAGAACAGTCACCCCAGCACTGGGAGGTTGGGCAGCAGGCGGAGCCACTGGACGTCTCTAAATAAGCATCTTGGTGTGCTAAGTCTTCACTCTGTCGATGCCAGTGGTAGAAGACTGCTTTTTCATTTTCCCCCTTCCCCACATTCTGGGCATGGAGGGTTCTTGACAAACCTACATCCTTGCCACAATTTCTGCACAAGTATCTTTATACAGGATTTTGGGTGAAAGTCTCTCATCACACGCGACGTGCTGGAGGTAATCTGTTGGGCAAGTGTGTGCATCACAGAGTGCTCAAGGGCTGTGTCTTCAGGATTTCGTCAATTACAGGAACTGTACCCACTACTAGACACCTTCCACCAACCCCGACCCCACACACACACACACACACACACACACACACACACACACACACACACACTTCACTTAAGACGGTGATGGTAGGGCTGTGAAGGTCACCGTGATGTGTCCTCTTTCTGGTTTCAGATCCTGCTCAGGAGGCTTCTAGGACAGGAAGTAGCAAGAACCTTTTGGATGGTCCTCCAAGAGTGCTTCAGCCCTTCCTGACAAACAGAGCCAAGGTGGCCGGGGCCCCCCCAAACCTGCCCCTGCCGGTGAGGAACACCATGCTGGCTGCTGCCCTGTTCCCGGAGTTTCTGAAGGAACTGGCTGCCTTGGCCCAGGAACACTCCATTCTGTGCTACAAGATCCTGGGTGACTTTGAGGACTCCTGTTGTTAGCTTTTTTAAAATAGAGGTTTGTTTTTATAAGATCTTAGTGTCTTGACTGAATGTTAAATGCAAAGCTGCTTACAAAAATTTCTACTTTGATATTTCCTGACAATACTTGATTTGTGCAGAGGAGCATCTCTCCTCTCTCTAGCCGGGTCTTTCCACCTTCTGTTTTATAGAATGTAAGTCTCATAAGCTGATTGCTCCCTGGGCGGTTTTCTTTGCTCAGTTTTTCCTCCTCACATTTTTTGGTGGTTGTTCTTCCACCCTTCGAGTCACTCATCTTGCAGCTCAGATTGCACCAAGCACATATTGGGGTTCAGTGATTTCTGGAAGTGTCCTGGGTCAGAAGGCCGGCTCTTCACCAGCATATGCAGAATGGACACCTGCAACTGCACAAACGCTCCTGTTGCCTTCTGGGTTTTGGCTTCCATTTTATAAAAGGGAAGAAGACAGAAGGATCCCCTCTTGCCTTCATCACACAAGCACATATCATACGTCTCCTTGAATCGTGCTTCCAGGACTCGCATTCTGCCCCATGCGTATTGCCTTATGGTGCAGGCAGACCCACCAGTCTCAGCTCGCTGCCTGGGAAGTCAGCTGGAGTTGGAGAAGATTTGGAATGCAGGGAATTTTTCTTGTTGCTTGAGAGCTTACTTTAATCGGTCAAACACTACCTAAACACTGAAGATGGCCTTATTTTAGTAAAATTTGCACAAAATGAAGTATGCCTGTGCAAACTGTTACTTTGGTTTTTAGGACTTTGATCGGATGAAGAAAGTGTGGTATTTATCATATTCTTATATAAGAAGACAACCATCTTTATTTTTTTAAGTGTTTGATGAAAACAAAAGGTTAACTTGTGAAGCTTTTTCATAGTGGCTTTTTTGGGGGAGAGATTGGAGTGGTGGGAATAGATAAAGGTAAACTAAAAATGCAGCCTTTAAAAACACTGGTAACTATTTTAAATCCTGTTTGCTTTTGCTAATATGTTGCACTTTGTAGAGAAACAGGAACTGTACAGCCCACTTTGGGCACTGGAGGTAAATGCAAACTAGTCGTAGGGAGTCCTACAAAGCCAAGTGCCTGCTGGTGACTGGCTCCATGCGCAAGTGTTGCCTTCTGAATAATGGGATTCATTAGAAGCCCCGGTGTGATGTATTAGTGCCTCTCTGCTGCTTTCTGGTCTGCTCTAAGAGGCATAATTATACTTAGAGCCACAGCCATGTTCAGCCACCACCAAGAGGGGTAAACACAAAATAACCGTGAGCTAAAAATAAGACCGTAGACAACTGACATTTATGGATATTAAATTCCACTCCCCTCTGTTTTGGGCCCAGTTCTGCAGGTGAGTAGCAGGTAACAAGGATGAGCTCCCCTGTTTGGATGGAGATTGGAATCCCCAGCGCACTCTGTTCTCCTCGTGGGCATCTCCCCAAGCCCTGAGGGCAGCCACAGGTCTGGTGGTTGTGCCTCAGGAGCACTAGCTTGGTCTTAATCAGGCCCTAGCATAGGAGGCCTGAACCTATGTAGTCTTCATCCTAACCCTAGTCCAGGAAGGAAATAGACGAAAGAGTCACATCTGCAACACTGCAGAGTGGACGCGGCTCTTTTGTGTTTCAGGGATCTTGAAGCAGCTTTGTATTGAGAGATTGAGAGCCAGTCAGTCCATGGAATGAAGACACCAGGAGTTCTGGCCTGGGCTGGGTGAGCTGTTAGGAGCCAGCCTAGGAGTGTTTCGTAGTCTAAGCAAGAAACCAAAGATACTGATTCACTGTACATTTCTAACTTCAAGTTTGTCTGTCTTGAAAAACGGTTTGCCCAGCTGTGGTGCAGCAGCCAGAATGTTCGAGGCCTAGCAGACTAGCGTGTTCTTGGCTTCCTGATGCCTAGTTGTATTTGCACAACCCACAAGTCCCCATTAGAAAGGAAGGCAGCTTAAGGTAGAGAAAGAGGAACAGTTAAAGATGGAATTTTAACTGTAGATGATCCTCTTTGTTTTGCACAAGTATTTATCTTACTGTTTGGAATCACCAGATCATAAAATGCTAAAGACACATCTGGAAACTGTACTCTTTAGCTTTTTGGTTTGATTTACACCTCCCTTTATTATCTGGTGGTGGTGTTGATTCTTCTTCTTGCGTCCATATTTCTTTATTATAGAACACTGTGGTCCCCTTTGTGGAAGGTACCCTTTGGGAAAGAGATGGATTTTGTGCCTCTTATCATTTTTTTCAATAGGTACTGAAGTAGACTTACTTTAAAGGAGGACAGAGATGACCGATGACTTGGGTAACAGGCAGGAAAATATATCTTCCATGGTGGGGTGCTGCTAGCAAGCTCACATGATAACTCCCGCAACTCCCTATTTGGAATTGGAAAATGGTTCATATTTCTGAATCCATTGCAGTTCTCTAGAGGTTGTGTCCAGGGTTTTGCAAAATAAAGTCAGAAAATTGACCTGGAAATATAGTAAAGAGAATTGGAAAATCAGTGTGTTGAGTGAAGTAGCCAGGAGTGGGTTATTCAGGAAATGGTGTGGACATGCCGAAAGAAAAACAGCAGAGACCTGAGGCTATAAATAGGGGAGCAAATCCTGAAAGATTTGGGGAAGAGAATATGATATAGGCAGATATGAAGATTCCGTATAGCAGGTGGGTGATGATAGGAACTCCTTGGTGGGGAAAAAAATCATGGTAATGAAGTACAATATTCCAGTCCTAAAGTAAATTGGTGAGGCCCTTAGAAATATCTTTTTTTTTTTTTTTGTCTTTTTTTTTCCGTGTCCGGCAACGGATCGCAACCCTCAGTGT